ATCAATCCTACTAAAACCTTAAGCAAAAATAAGTATTTAGTCATTGTTACTTAATAACTTAATACTTCCCTGTGGAATGCTTCCAAATTCATAATATATGACAAGAAAAAAAAAAAAAAAAGAATGTAAAGCTTCTAAAAAAGAAGACATAAAATACAATGCCTTGGGACCAGCAGTTAGTGTAATGGCTATGTCGCTGGGCTCCTATGTAGTTGACCACAGTTCGAGTCCTGGACCCAGCGGCTTAAACTCATGCTGGGCATGTGTACATGCATGCCCAAGATCCCGAGAGGAGAATGGAGGAGAAGGGATTGCGGTGTGGCCATCCCCCCTGGGGGGTGATTTCTTGCTTTCTGTCTCTCTGTCTGTCTGGCGAGTGCAAGCGCCTTATAGCAAAAACCTCTCAAAAAAAAAAAATACAATGCCTTTTGTTTGTTTGTTTGTTTGTTCTAGTTTTTGGCATAGGGTGCATGCACTGGCCAGAAAGAGAGAGAAAGTGAGAAATTACACGCTAGAGGGAAGACCATGCCATAATCTCTTGCCTTCTACTCTCTTCTCAAGATTTTGGGAATGAACACACATGTACTTGGCATGATTCTCAAGTCTCTAGGTCTGGGACTCAAACCACAAAGCCAGCTATATGGGATACAGCGCCATAACCTCCATGCTACCTGCTGGCCCAATACAATATGTTTTGAATCTAAGAAAAATGTTTAACGTTTTTACATTGCTGAAATTGGGATATGGGCCAGCCAGTGGTGTAGTGGTTAAGGCAGTTGGATCAGACAGCTGCACAGTTCAAGTCCTCAACTGTGCAGCTTCAAAAACCTAGACACATGTGCATGCATGCCCTGAGTCTTAAAAGGAGGAGAAAATAGAGAAGCGAATACAGTGTGATCATCTTCCATGTGTGTGGGGGGGGTGCTTCCTCACTCTCTTTCTTTCTCTTTGTCTCTCCTACCCCAATTTGAAAAAATAGAAGTAGATAATGTTTAAATAAAACCACTGGCAGTTTAAAAAATAACAATAGCTATAAAAAATATATAAATATGACTTTAATTTTTAAAAAGTGAGATCTTGGGCCAGCAGGTGGCATGGTGGTTAAAGTCCTGGATCCCATGTGGCTGACTAGGGTTTGAGTCCCAGACCCAACATGCTGAAAATCATACAAGGCTTCTCAAGGCAAGTCTGTGGTGTGGCCATCCCCCGTGAGGGGTGATTTCTCACCTTCCCTATTTCTGTTTCACTTTGGCTCTCCCTGGCAAGCACATGCACTCTATAGAGAAAACCTAAATAAATAAATAACAAGTGAGATCTATATGATAAAACAAAGAATTTTGTCAAAAGATTTAAAAGAAGAATTCATTAATGAAAACATATTTCATGATGGGGAGATGGAATATTTAAACAAGTCAATTACTTCTACATTAACACAATTCCTATCAAATTCCCCAGTGGAATTTTTGAGGAAAAACTTGTGTATAAAATTCATCTGAGGGACCAGCAGGTTGCATGGTGGTTAAGGTGCTGGACACTCCCACATGGCCAACAATGGTGTGAATCCCAGACCTGGTGGCTTTGTGTGTGTCCCTCTCCGTCTCGCTCTGGTCAAATTAAAAAAAAAAAAAAAAAAGAATGAATAAATAAAATAAAAATAAATAATTCTTTTAAAAAATTTTATCTGAAAGAATAAATGACCATAGCTAGCCAAGAAAAGTTTAGAAACACAAATAAATACAGTGGGCCAGCAGTACCTTGGAGGTTAAGGCAACTGGATCCCATATGGTCAACTGCACAATTCAAGTCCCAGACCCTGTGGCTTGAAAAATATACTGGGCACATATAAATATGTGCTCAAAATCCTGAGGGAAGAATATATGAGAAGAAATTATGGTATAGCTATCCCTCAAGGAGGGTGACTTCTCACTTTCCCTCTCTCTCTCTGGCAAGCACACAAGCCTATAGCAAAACTAAAAATAATTCATTAAGATAAATAGATACAGCAATATTTGCTATATCAAATATTAAAATTATATAAAACTATGTAATTTAGCACAAGAAAGGGGAATCACAGTTTACTTAAATTACCTTCCACACACTTTCTTCTTCTGGATAAATACTACCAAATATTTTGTTGTGAACTAGGGTGTGGACCAGCCAGCGGTGTGGTGATTTAGGCAGCTGAATCCCATACAGCAGACAGCACAGTTTAAGTCCCAGACTGTACAGCTTGAAAACGGTTCCTGATCAATCAGGAAAACTGGGAGAAATCTTTTTCCAGGAAGAAAGAAAAGGATACAGACTCCACGGAAAACTGATGAGGCTCTTAGACTACAGCTAGAAAATCACAGATAAAAGTGCTGACTCCCAACTATAAAAATAAGTGTCTCTTCTCTACCCAACAAAACCTTCTTGCTATGCTTCTCTGAAAGGAATCAGAAGTAGTGACAAAGCAATGGTTGACCTTACTCAGAGCTGAGGCCAAGACTGCCCACTTGTGGGACATTGGGACAAAAGACAACCTGTAATTTATGCTGCTCATTAGCAGCATTAGCACCTAACTTTTCCCTAGAAAAGCACGTAAGGTAATACAGCCTGTGGGATTGAGGGCAATACATGAAAATGCCATATCCTTCTAATGGGAAGCAAATGGGCACTTTTCAACTACAATGGGATCTTATCGCTGTGGGAACCCATTCCAGTCCTCAGATGCAAACAATGCAGAGGAATTTGGTTGTGCCCCACAGAAAACAACCAAACTTAGAAATAACTTTAATAGGACCAACAGTTAAGACCCGAACATAAAATAACAGTTGGTAAATGGAAATCGGCTAATTTTGTTGAGAAGGTCTAGACAGCTAGTTTGTTCAACTCTCAGATCACTTCTGTAATACGGCTGATTTACAAATGCATACCACTGATATTTGGTGTAACACAGGTACCAGAGAGAAAATATATTCACTCAATGTTAATAAAACATATGATTACACTGATGAGGGAAACTACGCTCACTGGGAAATTGAACTTAGACCCCCAACTGAGGTATGAATTATGCAAACTATTGCCTTGAAGGAAATTTGAACTTAGCATCACCGGAAGTAAAAAAGCTCTTAAAAATTAAGAAGAGGGGCTAGCTGGTGGTGTGGTAGTTAAGGTGGCTAGATCCCACATGGCTTATTGCATGCAACAAGTCCAAGACCTGGTGGCTTGAAAAACACACCTGGCCCCAAATCCTGAAAGGAGAAATGGAGGAGAAGAGATTACAGCATGGCATCTCCTCTCAGCTCTCAGTTGTTGACCACTTAATCTATCCAAGCAAACAGCTTGAGAAAACTCAGCACGAAGATTTCTGACATTTATGACCACATCAATTACACCATGTTTCTCTTCTCTGCAAGAAAAGAGTCAACTGATCTTGAGATGATAATTTGTGAGTTTGTCTAATAGAAACCAGTCAGAATAGAAGAAAGAGAAGACTTAATTATCTGATGATGTCTCAAATTAAAGCTGGAAGCATAATGAAGAATAAAGACTGGAATTTCCCCACACTTCCCTCCTTCCTTCTCTTGCCTCAGCTTAAAAATCCTTGTCCTTGAGCAGCCAGTAAGATGGATTTAAGATTTTTGTCTGCCATCTTCACAGCTGGTTCCCCTGCCTTGTACAAAGACCTTTTTCTCTACCCTAAATTGTCTTTGCTATTAGTTTTTGCTAGTAAGTTGGACACTTCAACTTGGGTTTGGTAACCAATTGCATTCATTTACAATACTAACCCTAGGCCAACCTACTTGGACATTTTTGGTGAGAGAAGTAAACTATCTTATTCAAGCCCCTGTTTTGTCTGGACTCTCCACTGTTGGAGTCAATCCTATATCACAACTTATACAGAACTTTATACTGCTAGTTAAGGAAAAAAAAATAAAATGAAGCCTAGGAATGTTTGCAAGACCTTTGACTTAAAGATACTATCAACAGACCAGCCAGCAGTGTGGTGGTGAAGCAAGCTGGATCCCAAATGATCAACTGTATGGTTCAAGTCTCAGACCTAGATGTTTGAGAAACATGCCAGGTATGTGTGCATGAATGCCCAAAATCCCAACAGGAGAGAGAAATGGAGTAGAAGGGATTGTGGCATGGCCATCCACCATAGGGGGTGTTTTCTTTCTCTGTCTCTCTCTCTGGTGAGTGTATGTGCCCTCTGTCAAATTAAAAAAAAAAAAAAAAGATACTAGAAACATAAAGCCTAGCCCATGAGAAAATAAAGACCCATTGGGTCAGAGTTATACCTGTTCTACATTTTTCATCATAAGAATGCTTTGGGTATTGATTTACACAACTTCAGGAGTTTAATTTGAACCACATATGAAATATAACCTTTAATCCAGACTCTGCATGTATGTCAAATAGTTGTTAGTCAGAAAACATATGGATTCTGTCTCAGGTATTCTCCCCATGACTGAATTAATTCATTGGTTTTTCTAACATTTTAACAGTTTCATTTCTTAAAAACAAAGTGAGGGGGCCAGAAGGTGGCATGGTGGTTAAGGGCGCTGGACTCCCACATGATTGACCACAGTTTGAGTCCCAGATCTTCTGGTGACTTGCTTTCTCACTTTCACTTTTTTCTCTCTCTCTCCCTCTCCATCTCTGGTCAAATTAAAATGAATAAAGTTAAATAAAATAATTATTAAAAAAAAACAAGGTGAGATTGCTCTCTAATTTTATGAATACCTTTGTAGAGCTAAACCTTTGTACAGAACATTGATAATTTTCTCATAAATTCCTGCAAACAAAATAAACTCAAAGACTATCCGCATTTTATAAATAATACCAAATTACTATCCAGAGTTGTGCCAATTTACATTCCAATGTGGTATGTGAAAAAAACAGGGCTCTGCATGTTAATAACATGGGCTTCTCGAATTGCTAACAGTTTCTCTTTCAGGATGCTGTCTGATCTGTAAATAAAGACATTCCTGTTTGGGAAGAGTGATGACACTTGCCTGCTTTGCACATGAGAAAAGTGCCTGTCAGGTTGGTTTCAATCACAGCATTCCATCCCTTCGAGGTGATGCGCTCAGCAGGAGATAGGAACTGGCCTCCTGCATTGTTTACCAAGAAATTGATCTTACCATAAATATCCAAAGTAGATTTGATCAAATTGTTCACCTAAAGAAAAACATTAAAAATAAAAGCATTCAAAGTAAAAGTTTGGACCAGCAAATAGTGAATGGTTACACTGCTGGACTCCCGCATAGTTAACCAGGGTTTGAGTCCCAGACCTGGCAGCTTGAAACTTATGCTGGGCACATGTGTGAATGCCCAAAATCCCAGGAGGAGAGTGGAGGAGAATGGACTGTAGTGTGACCATCCCCAGTGGGGGGTGATTTCTTGCTTTCTGTCTGTCTTTCTCTGCCTCTACAGTGAGTGCGCATGTGCTATAGCAAAACTCTCCTTTAAAAAAAAAAAAAGTAAAAGCTTAATAACCTAATTTGCTACTTGGCCTAACTGTTCTGGAAGCATTATAGAACTTGCAATCTCACAGTGAACAGTAACATCAAGTACCCCTATAAATGAACATGAAGACAGCAATGAGTGAACATAAAAATGCTACTCCAATGAGTAATTTACTAGTGTCCAATATCTGTAGATCACAAAGTTGAAATTGTCATTTTGATGACCAGATATATCTAGGGCCCAGATCAGCTCTAAGTAGGGCAGGCCTCAGTCATATTAATTAGTAAACTACCAGTGCAGAATAATGGAGAGATAAAATCAGGTTAAAAGAAACATTAACAAAGGATTTAAAGGGCAAAAGGCACACTAGTCTCTAGCTGAGTCCACATCCTTGCTTAACTCCTCCATCTTGCTCTCCTCCTCTCCTTCCAACATCACTGGCTCACCAAATCATTAGCACAAGGATCTCCTTCACAGGATCTGGTTCCAGTGAACCTCACCTAAGATAGCTAACTACCATAGGAGAAAGTAAAGTACAGCCAGGTTTAAGAACCACTACCGAAGGGGTCAGCAGGTGATGTGGTGGTTAAGGCACTGGATTCCTGCATGGCCAACTGCTCTTTGAATCCCGGATCCAGTGTCTTGATACTCACACTGTGCCTAAAATTCCAGGAGAAGAGATTGCAGTGTGGCCATTCTCCTAGGGGGTCATTTCTCACTGTCTCTCTCTGTATCTCTGGCGAGCACACATGTAGTATGGCAAAAATGTTAAAAAAAAAAAAGAAAAAAGAAAAAAAAATAGAACCACTGCCATAAATTAAAGTAAGGAAATAAACAATATAATGTAGATATTTTTGCAGTACCTCCTCTTCTTTCCGGATGTTACATTGTGTGGGTGTGACTTGAGCCTTGTTGGTAGGAATCAGGCTTGCTTTTAGTTCATCTGCAGTGGTTTTTAATTTCTTAAATTCACGAGATGCAATAACCACATTACACTCTAGGGAGAAAACAGTCAGAGAATAAGTGAGTAAATATGCATTCATGAATTGTCTAAGTCCCAACAATAATATTAGAAAATATCCTGTGTGTGGGACTAGCAGATGTCATAACGGTTCCATTGTTAGAATCCTACGTAATCTACTGCAGCTCAAGTCCCAGACCCAGTAGTTTAAAAATCATTCTGGGTGCATGTGTGTGCATGCACAAGATCCTAAGAAGAGAATGGAACAGAAGGGATTGCAGCGTGGCCATCCCTCTGGGGTTGATTTCTCACTTTCTGTCTCGCCAATGAGCATACACACCCTATATCAAGAATCTCTTAAAAAGAAAATATCCTGGGGAACCAGCAGTTAGCGTAATGGCTATGTCACTGGACTCCCACGTAGTCGACCGCGGTTCGCGTCCTGGACCCGGTGGCTTAAAACTCACGCCGGGTGTGTGTGCGTGCGTGCCCAAGATCCCAGGAGGAGAATGGAGGAGAAGGGATTGTGGCGTGACCATCCCCCCTGGGGGGTGATTTCTCGCTTTCTGTCTCTATGTCTCTCTCTGTCTGTCTGGCGAGCGCACGTGCCCTATAGTGAAAAACCTCTCAAAAAAAAAAAAAAAGCACAAGTCCTAATTAGGACTTCTGCTTCTGGACAAGAAGGAGTAATAGGAACTAAATTTACTATCTAGTCCAAAACAACTAAAAATCTGGTAAAAATACATAAAGCAATGGTTTTCAGGCATCAGCCATCAAGTGGCACTAGTCGATCATCTCTGACGGAGTGGAAACGAACAATGGAACCCCTATGAGAACCTGCTTACTGGCTAAAGAGAACTTCCAGACTGCAGCAGAGGAGGCAACCTGGGTCAAAGAGGAAAGGTGGGAGTCCAGGGAGGCCAAAGCAGCTAGATTACACAGGGCATAGAAAGAAGAGAGTTGCAGAGTCTTCCTTGATGCTTCCGCTGAGTACTGAGCAACGCGTGGGAGTGAAGAAACAGGCTGGTCAAGGCCAGCAGGTGGCAGGGAGGTGAAGGCAGCTGATCCCACATGGCTGACTTCACGATTTGAGTTCTAGACCCAGTGGCTTGAAAATCATGCCAGGTGTTTGTGTGGGCGTGCCCAAAATCCTAAGAAAAGAGTGGAGGAGAAGGGATTGCAGCATGACCTCTTCTCCCACCCAGGTGGTATAATTTCTCACTTGCTCTCTCCTTTTCTTTCTCTCTCCCCTCCTGGTGAGTACAAGCACTGTATAGCAAATTTTAAAAAGAAATCAGGCTGAGAAAAGAACCACCCTAACTTAGCAGAGAGAACAAACCCTGGCGCTCAGTTGGGATACTTATTGGGCCCATCAGCAAAAGCCTTTTCCCAGGATATTGAGTAATATGGCTTCAGCGGCAGGGCAAAATTGTCTGTTAACTAAAGGTTGCATAACCATAACACTAAAGCAAGTTTCTTTGAAAGCATCACACTGTGTCCAAAATATTTAATTGCATTCCAAAACAAAGTTCAAGAACACTTTTTATTTTTAATTTGACAGAGGGCACGTAGATTCACTAGAAAGAGATGGAAAGACAGTGGGAAAGTAAGAAAGCACCCTGCCCCCATGGAGAATGGTCACAGCACAATCCCTCCTCCTCCATTTCTCCCTCGTGTCTATATTTTGGGCATGCACACACATATGTACGGTGTGTTTCTCAAGCTGCCAGGTCCAGGACTCGAACTGCAGTTGGCCATGGGCAATCAAGCCATCTTAACCACCATGCCACAGTCTGGCCCTAAACTTTTATTAAAAATCGAATGGCAATGCAATTGAATTTTGTTTTCTTAATTGTCAGAGGGCATGTGCACTTGTTAGAGAATGTGAGACACAGAAGCAGGGAGAGAAAAAGGAAGAGAGAAAAAGCACCCCCTAACAAGACATGGTCATGCTACAATTCTTTCTCTTCCATAGCTCCATCACATCAGGATTGGCATGGATCACAGTGGCGGACACGTTTATCAAGCCTCTAGGGCCAGGTTTCAAACCATGGGCCATCATGGAGGATTTGTTAATCACTGCACTACAGGTTCAATTTTATTTATTCATTCATTCATTCATTCATTCATTCATTCATTTATTTTAAAACCATTCTGAAGTAAAAGACAACACAATAATCATCATTCCTCAGAATTCAAGTTGTAATGCACATAATGCACGCACACACACACAAGAGATGGAGAAATCACCCCTTAATGAAGTGTAGTCATGCACACACATGGTTTATCTTGTTGGGTGCCCCAAGAATATTTATATGAATTTAAAAGTACCCAACAAGATAAAATTCAAATGTCTGGCATTCAACATAAACTATCAGGCATGCAAAAGACCAGGAAAAGGATAACCTATAATGAGGAGTAATGGCAATATAAACAGACCCAGAAATTATACTGATGATAAAATTAAAGCAATGATGAAGACAAAAACTTCTAAGCAGGCAGAGAAAAACAGCACATTAAATAAAAAAGAAGGAAACAAGAACTTCTATCAGAAACAATATAAGCTAGAAAATACTGGGACATCTTTCTCTTTCTCTTTCTTTCTCCCTCTTCTCTTTCTCTCTCTTTCTTTCTTTCTTTCTTTTAAATTTTGCCATAGGGTGTGTGCTCTTGCCAGAGAAAAACAGAGAGGGAAAAATAGAGAAAGAAAGTAAAAAGGCACCTCCTGGGGGGATGGCTATGCCACCATCCTTTCTCCTCCATTCTTCTCTCAGGATTTTGGACATACACCCACACACATACACCCAGCATGCTTTTCGAGCCACCAGATCTAGGACTCAGACCACACAGTCAGAAATGTGGGATCCAGCCACCTTAACCACATTACCACCAGATGGCCCACGGAACACCTTTAAAATTCTAGAAAAAGACTTAAAAGGTATGAACCAAGGGCTAACAGATGACCTAGTGGTTGGGGCACTGGACTCCCTCATGGCCAACAGTAGTTAGAATCCTGGACCTAGCGACTTGAAAATTTGAAGCAGGCGTGTGCACATGCATGCCCAAAATCCCCAGAGGGGAGTGAAAGAGAAGGGATTGTAGGCTGGTCACTCACTCCAAGGGGTGATTTCTCATCCTACTCCTAGGAGCCAGGGTGGTCATTGTTCTCACAATAAAAGGAAAAGTCAAAATCATTCCGAAGTAAAAGACAACACCATAATCATCATTTCTCAGAATTCAAGTTGTAGTGCACATAACGCACGCACACACACACACACACACACACACACACACTGTCTCTCTCTCTCTTTCTCTCTGGCTAGCACATGCGCTGTTTGTCAAAAACTTAAAAAAAAAAGAAAAGTTAACCTAGAAATCTTGGTATGGAGAAAATAATCTTCAAAAATGATGTGAAAATAAAGACTTCTCCAAACATATAAAAGCTGAAAGAATCTTCGAAGCAGATCTCCACTGTGTAAAGATTAAGAAAAGTCTTTCAAACAGAAGGAAAATTATACCAGATAGAAAAACAAAAGTATACAAAAGAAGAAAGAGAACCAGAAATAGTTACTATGTGAATAAATACACACTTTCCTTCTCTCTATTCAGATCTCTTTAGAAGCTAGTGATAGTTTAAAGCAAAAATAACATCACAGATATTTCTTTGTAAAATCAGGGCTCCCTCTGCCTGTCTCTACAAATACACACACACACACACACACACACACACACAGAGTTTCCTTCTCACTGGAAAAACAGTTGCCTGAATGTTTATTTTATTTGTCCAGTTTGGATTTATATTGCAATTTTCAGGAAACGGTCATTAAACCTGGTATAAAAAAATAAAATCATAGTTAAAATTGATTTACATTATTTAAAAAACTATTTTATTTTATTTATTATTATTTTTAAGATTTCCTATAGGGCATATGCGCTCACCAGAATGTGAGAGAGAGAGAGAGAGAGAGAGAGAGAGAAAAGGAAAGTAAGAAGGCAAGCCACCAGGTCCAGGGCTTGAACCACAGTCATGTAGGAGTCTAGTGCCTTAACCACCACACCACCTGCTGGCCCCGTTTTATATTGTTTTTAAAAAAGGAACTCCATGTTCAATTATTTTCCTAAAACAAAACCAAACCAAACCAAAAAAAGTACATGGTTTGTAGGGACGTGTTCTGAGAAAAGCTTTGTGGATGTAAGGATCTGTTCCAAGCAGACATTAGGGACTTGATCTGAGCAAACATTACATATCTCTTTGAACCTATGGTAGAAGCCTTGCAGCTTGTCTTTTCCTCGACTCTTCCTGCAGGCAGAACAATCGGTGAAATTTACAGGGGCTGTCCTGGGGAAACATCGACAGAGCTCAGTAAGCATCCTACCCCTCCACGTAAAGACTAACCCCTGCTCTGCCTTGTGTAACCTGTTAGCTTAACCATTACCCCTTTGATGAATGCAACAGAATGTACTTTCCACACCTGCAAAAAGGCTTTACTTCACTAGATAAGTAATTTACAGAACATTTCTTTGCATTCATCATAACCAGGAGATACACCTGGTGCCAGTATATCTAAACCTTAGTAGATAAATGACTTATTTCCTATGCCAATAAAACATCAACTATATCTGTGGAATGCCACTAAATACACGTATGTAGTATCACTTTGCCCTATAAATAAAGGCGCTCAGCTTGTCAGGGTAGCTCAGGCTCAAACTACCTGTGTCTACCAATACTCTGTCTCTGTGTTACTTTATTTCTGCTTCCTCTTCTTAGATTGAGCTAAGTCCGCCAATGGTTTTAAGTTCCCCGATGGTTTTCTTAACTATATGAAATATTTTCTAGGGAGTTGTTCTCTCACATTCACCAAAATCTTAAAGGATCCCTGGCTTCCAAAAAATTACAAGATCATTCACTGTCCCATTATTTTAGTCTATGCCATTAAAAATAACCTATGCTACCTTACCTGAGGGCTGACATACAGTGGCTGATCAATCCGTACAAATTTATCAAACAGGAACATAGTTCAGGTATGAGGAAACACACTAGAGGTCCTGCAAGATAAACTAGAATTCTACAAATCTGCTGAGAAGCATAGAGCCTGACGTCTGCATAAAATGGTAACTGATTCTGACTTTATTAAGAATGCCCGAGGGAGGGACCAGCAGATGGCATAATGGTTATGTCACTGGACTCCCACATGGATGACCGCAGTTCAAGTCCTGAACTCAGCAGCTTAAAACTTACATAGGTACATGTGCATGCATACCCAAAATCCCAAGAGGAGAATGGAGGAGAAGGGAATGTGGTGTACCTATCCCCCTTGAGAGGCGGGTCACTTTTTGCATTCTGTCTCTCTGGTGAATGTACACACCCTATAGCAAAAACTCTCTCTCTAAAAAAAAAAAAAAAAAAGATGTGGGGCCAGCAGGTGACCTAGGGTTAAGGTGATGGACTCCCATAAGGCAGACTACTGTTGAAGTCTGAGACCCAGGGGCTTGAAAATCACACAGGACATGTGTATAGGCATGCCCAACAGGAGAATGGAAGAGAAGGAATTATGGCATGGTCATACCCTCTTGGGAGTGTTTTCTCAATTTCCCTCTGGCTATCTCTCTCTGGTGAAGGAAAAAAGAAAAGAACAGTTTCTATTTTCAGGTTTTGTTAGGGTTTTTTTGTGTGTGTGTGTGTGTGTCTTGTTTTCAGTTCATATTATGCCAGATCTTGGAAATACAATGGTAACCAAAGGCCATTTATTAAAAAAAAAAAAAAAAAAAAAAAAAAAAAAAAAAAGAAAAGAAAGAACAAAAAGAAACTAGAGAATAAATTACCTAAAACGAAATCTAAATACTCATTATTAATACTATTTTTAGAACAAAACTGCCAACAATGTTTTAACTTCTTCCAGTCTTTCTCTGCACACACATTTTTCATTAAAAATTAAATTCCAATGCTATTTAGTTTAGAATCCTCCTTGATCTAATTATATGATACATGTTACCCCACATAAAGTCTTAATAGCATATTTAAATTGAAGTGTAATATTTCATTATGATTACCTATTTCCCTCATAATACTTAGATTATTTTTTTATTTGTCACTCAGACAGGATTAAGATTTCCGGCCAAATAGTAGGGTTAGAAGTTCACCAAATGGAGAATATGAGACAAGATGGAGTCACTATTAGTCAAACCTTTTTTTGAGAGAGAGTCTTTTGCTATGGGGCATGTGCTCTCGCTGTAGAGGTAAAGAGAGACGGAGAGACAGAATGCGAGAAGTCACCCCCTAACCAGGATGGCCACCTGCAATCCCTTCTCCTCCACTCTCCTCCTGGGATGTTGGGCACATATGCACACACACGTGAATTGAGTTTCAGGCTGCTAGGTCCAGACTGCAACTGTGGGAATCCAGCACCTTAACCACTATGCCACTGGCCCTATTTATATTGTTTATAAAATTCAACAAGGATTTGCCAGTTCAGATGTAAAATAGGTCAATTTACCTATACTCCTCTTCATTTTCTTTACCTGTTCATGTATTTACAGGTCCTTCCTTCACTTAAATAGTCACTGAACAGTATTTTTTTTTTTTCTAATTTGCTGAAAGGCTCCCGCACTCTCTAAAGAGCACCAGAGAGAAACCGAGAAAGTGAAATATTCCAGGAGGGCTGGTGCACGCTCAGGCCCCGCCTTTCCAGAAGTAGAACAGCGGGCCCTAGAAAATATTTCATATACTTACGAAAACCATATACTTTTTTTTAGGAAAATAATTGAACATGAATTTCCTTCATTAAAACAATATAACCACCTTACTGTGGTTCTGATAAGAGATGTGACAAGAGACTATGCTGGGAGCTGTTCAACGTTTACGGCCTTGCCCGGTTAAAGGAGGTCTAACCCTGTTTCCTATTCTCGCAGACTACGCAATAAGACGGAATGGTTGAATTTCACAACGCGCTGTCTCATGCCCCCTTACCTGATGACACCGGTCACAGATCGTTCGGCCCTAAGTGCCCACACGAGTGCAAACTAATGACTTCACCCAGCGTTTCCCACAGCCTCTGAGAAAGAACTCCTCTCTCCTCTGTCCCTCTCGGTGCTACGTATTCCCGCTCTCGTCCCTTTGCCTCGCAAAGCCACGCCCTCTCAGCCCTGCCTGGCACTCCCCCACCCCGGACAGCACCCCAGTTGACTCCTGCAGTGTCTCTACAGCCCCCTGCTCTCGCATTGCAGCCCGGGGGACTATTCACGTACCCAGGTGCAGGAGCTCCTTAGCGATGGCCTTTCCGATACCCGTGCCCCCGCCGGTGACGATGGCCACTTTGTTCCGCAACAGCCCGGCCGCCAGAAAGCTCATGCCTGTGGTCTAAAAGCTCAGGGCCGCGGCAGCGGAATCACCTGCGTTCTGCGGCTCACGCTTACGTGGTTCGGGGACCAAGAAGAACAGGGTAGCAGAAGGCGAGTGCAAGTACCTGCCCTGGCCCCGCCCTGGCCCTGCCCGGCCCCGCCCCGCTCAGGCCCCGCCCCGTCCGTCGCCCCGCCCCTTGGTCCCTCCAGCCCGCAGCGGCGGCTCTGCATCCTTGGAGGGCCGGACAGCTTCCCCGCGGCCGCTTCCTGACCGTCTGAATCTGGATCCTCCTCCAGGGTCGGCCCCCGGGCACGCGTGGGTGAGACTCTTCGTTCTTGTTTTTTTTTTTTTTTTTTTTTTTTTTTTTTTTTTTTAATGCCATGGAGTGTGGTGGGGGGGGGAAGGAATACAATAAAAAAGCAGGGATGTCCTCTGTTTTGAAATTCAATCCTCACTGCTGTGGCTCTCATGGTTAATTAAATCTCCAGTGCATCTGGGAAAAGAAAGACTGCAGCTCTGCAGCGGAGGAAGTCGGGCGACGCTGGGGCTACAGCTGCTGTGTGCCTCTGGCTGGGAAGGAGAAAGGGGGCAGGCTTAGTTGAGGGGAAAAAATCCTTTCATCCTCCTGGAGGGAGCCTGGGGAGGGAGTGAGGGGGAAGAAGAAGCACAGTTGCAGTGATCCACAGCACCAGATAATAAAGGAGTTAAAAAATAAACTCTCGGGCCCACTTCCCTCTCATCCCCTGGTTTCCACCCAGGGAGGGAGGGAGGAAACAACCTTTATCAAATTTGAGATCTGATCCTTTGCAACCTGGCTGCAGAAGTCCAAAAGCGAATCTTCCAATGAAAGACGCATGCTTCCTGCAAGACACATCTTTGGTGTGGGTTTGAGATCCTGTCCCGCAGTTCATCTTTATGCAGGAGAACAAGCCGGCTGAGGACGGGGAAATTACTCAGCCCTGTTTTGGTGCCCAGTAACAGTCCTTTATTTATTTTTCATATTGCTTCAAACTGTCAACCCATCACAGTGAATTTACACTTAGACTGGGTCTTCACCTAAGAAACTGGCAGATCTAGAGAATGTCAGGCGCGGTGGTCGCAACAATCAACAATCCGGGCAGAAGGCTGTTTCTAAGTCTGTTGTCAGAGTGCCCTTTCTCCTTTAGTCAATACTGAAAGAATATAAAAACAATTGCCATCCTTTGTTGGATGGATCCACCATCCTGGATTCACAAAGCAAACTGTGCTGGGTTTGGTTGAGAGTAGAATCAGACATCACCCTGTAGGTCCCACCCACCAGCCAGCCTGCAGTTCTTCCACAGCTAGCTTCCTCCTCGTTCCTCCATCCCCTGCCCTCGCTGACCTCCTTTTAAAAACACATACCCCTCTCTCTTAGCTGCTTATTGATTCCAATCTACTCATTAAAGAAGGGAAAAAATTCTTCCAGTTCCTATTTGCTAGACAGAGAGTAATCACTTGCTGCTACTTCTTAAGTCAGTTATGTAGTTATGAGTAAATTTTTAAAATAACAAGTCCATTACCTCATTTTAAAAAAAGTTAATTTGAACAGGAAAGTGTGAAGTATTGTTCCAAAAAATAGAATTCCTAGTGTTTTAATCCCAATGACAAAGTATTATTTTTTAGCATTAAAAGAAATATTGATTCTGTTCTGAGGAGTATTTTATTTTTTTGGAGAGGTTTTTGCTATAGGGCGCGTGCGCTCGCCAGAAAGACAGAGAGAGACAGAGAGATAGAAAGTGAGAATCACCCCCCAGGGGGAATGGCCACGTTGCAACCCCTTCTCCTCCATTCTCCTCTCTGGATCTTGGGCACGCACCGCACACTCACCCAGCGTGAGTTTAAGCCACCAGGTCTGCCGTTGGCTACATGGGAGTTCAGCGACATAGCCATTATGCTAACTGCTGGTCCCCCAGGGGTATTTTATGCCAGATAATTTCAGGCCTTCTTTCTTGTGGGTGAGGACATTTGTAAGTTTCTTTTAAAGATGATTTTATCGAGACATAATTTAATGTAATTTGTGCTCTGGTCTGGACCTGTGGATTCTTGGAGATCTTCCAGGGTGGGTCAGCATAGGCCTGGCTGTACCGCAGTCTCTGTGTGGCTGCTTAGTGGATTGAGGGAAGGATTCTGGTATCTTCCATTGTGAAGGTGACTAGGGGCAGCAAGCCACTTATCCCCATTGAGGATGATAAGGCACCATTTCTCCACTGCGAGGAAGTTGCAGGACAAGCAGTCAGAAATCTCCTTTTTTACATTCTAGGTAGAACCTATGATTAAGGGAGATGTGGAATCTCAAGACTGGACTGAGGTGCAGTAGTAACGTAAGACTGTGCCATACTGGACCCACATGGGAAGGTCACTGGTTCATGTCCCAGGGCCTCCCTGTAATTGCTGGGCATGCATGTGTGTGCCCATGATCCAGGCTGGCTGGGACTGGGGATGGATCGGTGTGAACACCCATTGAGGGTCTTTCTTAATAAATAAATATACTTTAAAAAAAATCACAGGGCTGCTTTCATAGCACAGCAGTTAGCACTGGAGAGTGGAGGCCAGATCCCACATGGCTGACCACAATCCAGCTCGGGAACGACATGCTGGGTGTACACACATGTGCCCAGGTCCCTGACCAGATGGAGAAATGGAGAAAAAAGGATTGCAAAGTGACTAGCTCTGTTGGAAGTGCTTTCATTCTCTCTCTTTTTCTCTCTCCCCCTCTCTTGCAAGCACATGCTCTCTATCATGCATGAAAAAATAAAATAAAATAAAATAAACTTGAAGAAAAACAAAAAGAAATGCAATTTTAAACCACTTTAAAAAAGAGAGAGAAATGTGGGGTCCCTTCGAGGGATCTTTTGTTGACAATAAAGGGGCATATGTTCTTTGCCTTTGCCTCTGACCTCAGTCAGGGTTTGAAAGTCTTCTAGCCTCAAAAGGTCAGGAACCACAGCAATAGTTCTGCAGCTTGGAAGCTCTTTGTTTTCAGATTTTAATTCTGGCCTCTGATTGTGCCCTCCCTTCCAGGGCAGCTGCGGGGACCATTCCTTCCGCTGAATCAAATGCTGCTCTTCCCCACACGCTGCATCATTGCCTTCTTTGTCCTGGGAAAAAAGCATGGCTGTGGCCTTGATGCTTCCTCACGGTGCTCTGTCATGCCCCATTAGCAATGACTCCCTTCATCTTCCGGGAGGCTCTTGCTGCTCACCCAGCTTCTCGCTCCTCCCCCACCCCTCCCCCACCCCATCTGCCTGGTAACTTCATTTTCTTCTCTCAGCAAAGCAGCTGCTGGCTCAGACTGACAGGGGCTTGTCGAATCCTCAGCATTTAGACTCACAGAATCTTGGTGCTGAAGGAATATCAATGAGGCATCTAGTTTCACCCCCACCTTAAAACAAGACCACTTCAGAACCAGTTCACATCAGTAAGAACTCTCTCTCTTATTTTAGGTTTTTGTCATATGGTACATGCACTCACCAGAGAGAGACAGAGAGGGAAAGTGTGAAATCATCCCCCAGTGGGTGTTCAGGGGGAACAGTCATGCTACAATACCTTCTCCTCCATTCTCTAGGGATTTGGGGCATGTATGCACTCTTGCCTCACGTGAGTTTCAAGCTGCCAGGTCAGGGACTCAGACAGTGGTTGGCCATGTGGGAGTCCAGCACCTTAACCACCACGCCACCTCCTGGCCCCTAAATAAGAACTCTTAACTAGTCACAATATTCAGCCAGTATTGACTGAGCACCTGCTACGGGCCAGGTCCAGGAATACAGTACAATGCACAGGACAGTTAAGTTTCCCTGCATTAGTTATATTCTAGCACTGACATATGTTGGAAGCAGCAGTGGGAGGTAGAAGAGGAATGTGCACCATGAAAGGTGGGAAAATAACAAAAAAAAGAAAAAAAGAGAGAGTGAAAATCAGGTGTAATAGCTCTCTTTTCTTTTTTTTAAAGAATTACTTATTTAATTTTATTTATTCATTGGTTTATTTTAATTTGACCAGAGAGAGACACAGAGAGAGAGGAGGAAAGTTAGAAAGCAAGTCACCAAGTCCAGGACTTGAACCGTGGTCAGCCATGTGGGAGTGTCCAGCCCCTTAACCACCATGCCACCTGCTGGCCTCTCTCTTTCTTTCTTTAAAAATAATTACCACAACGCTCGTGTACTCACCAGAGACAGAGAGAAAAGAGAGGGAGAAAGCACCACCCCCTTCTCCATGGGACATGGTCATGCCACAATCCCTTCTCTATCCTGTTGGGATTTGGAGCATGCACACACACACAAATGATATGTTTTCCAAGCTGTGGGACTGGGACTCAAACCATACATTCAGCCATTTTGGATCCAGCTCTTTTAATTGCTAGACCAGGGGGCCAACCCAGGTCTTAATAGCTCTCACAATAATGAGATACTGGGACCAGTAGATGACATATTGGTTACATCATTGGACTCCCACATAGTTGACTGCGGTTCAAGTCCCGGACCTGGAAGCTTAAAACTCATGCCGGGCACATGTGCTTGCATGCCCAAAATCCTGAGAGGAGAATGGAAGAGGAGGATTGCAGCATGGCCATCCCTTCTGAGGGCGGGGTGTGTGTGTGTGTGTGTGTGTGTGTGTGTGTGTGTGTGTGTTTTCTTGCTTTCTATATCTCTGTCTCTCTGTCTCTCCAGTAACCACACACTGGTGTCTATAACAGAAATCTCTCAAAAAAATATAAATTAAAAAATATAAGGAGATGCTGAAGTTTCTGTACCTTGCTACCCTCACTGCCAGGAACCATTTTCTCTATAGACAGTCAGACGCTTCCTAGATGATAAACTTTCCTCAATGTGACAGTCTTACAGAACAAGGTAGGCCAGGAAATGGCAAAAGAGATGCTGGGCATGAGACCACAAAAGAACAGGCTGCAGCTTAATGGAGTTTGTGACCATCCACAGCAACTACCTGTGGGTTTCAAGATATTGTTCCATCACATATCCAATTACTTGACAACTGTCTGAGCTTAATTTCTTTCCATCTTTGCGTTAGTGAAACTGTCTCTTTGGAAGGGGCTAATGGTAATTTTCAGTGGTAAACGGTAACCATTTTAATTTCCTAGTTGGTGGTAAACTTGATGGTGATAAACCGAGATATAATCGGGAGTCTGACCACTTGAGACCAGTGATATGTGTCCCTTTGGGTGGAACTACACAAATCAGAGAAGAGGTGAAAGAACAGCAGGGCTGTAGGTAAGGAAGTGAATTAACTTCAAGATGAAGTTGGCAGGCCCAGCAATCCAGGTTCAGTATGGGTACAAAAAGTCAACACCTGTTGTTCTTAACCCAATGCAACAGGCACACCTTGATTTGGAAGCTCTGTCAGTCAACGGTGGCAAAATGGCAACCCATTTACATTTTGTTTTGGATGATTATCCAAAGGGTAATTTATTTCAATTTGGATTAACTACAATCAAAATCAGAAATTCTCACATAAAGTTTCAGACAACTCTTACCAAATAGACCTATAGTTCTCTATGAAAGGAGTTGGCTGGCAGTGGCTTGGTGAGTAGAGGAGAGGGAAACAGTAACTACCTACTTTAGATAGATGAGACCAGAACTCTTTGTTTACCACAGTCCCCACCACTCCTCTTCTTGTGTCCAGATGCTAAGACTTGTGCCCTTGGCATGTATTAGCTTATCACACCCATACTTCACCCATGTATGTTATTTTCTTCCCTGAAATGTAATAAGGGCAGAGGTTCAAAGCTTCCTGGCTTTGTACACACCAGGTCCACAAGTATACTGAGTATCTGGGTAGGTCTGGTGAAGGCAGTGGCTCAGGTCCGCTCCAATAGAGATATGGGAGCAGAAAAATGTTTGTAGACTACAGGGAAGTCATGTCTGATGGTGAGAGATGCACAAACCTGCAGTGAACTACTGTGGGTTAGGGATGAAGTTAATGGCTGAGTGACTAATTGGATGGGAGCTAGTCTGCAGAGAGTAATGATTAGCCTTCCTGTTGAAATTTCAATCCTACAAAAGTGCTGTAGGTGGGTAGTGTACTCATTCTGTGGTGTTGTGAGTTTTGTGATTGGATGGATAAACATTCTATGGTGTTGTGCGGCTTTGGATTTTTACTGAATGCCTAAAAACTTCATTTATTTTAACAAAGGAAATTTTATTGGCTATCTTATTAAAAGCAGGGAACAGATCATGTACCATATTGAGCTCTCCAGTGAGAGAGTTTCTAGTGGGGCTCGATCCCACATCAGAGTGATATCTTTCATATTAGATAGCTGGGTTTCAATGGCCCACCCAGGAGAATCGAAACTGCTTAAGCCACCCATTATCAGGAATGATGCTATTTTATGTTCTAACTCTGAAAGACCTAACAAATCTCCCTACTTCCCAGGGCTGAAAAATTGACACTTGGGAGAAAGGTTGAGATACTAAATAACCTTGGACAATCTCAATATGTTGGAATTTGTGTATATGCTTCAAGAGAGCAAAATAACCAAGGATTAAAATAAAATAGATATCTATTTTTTCTCATATTATAGTCCAAAGGAAAAAGGTTTATGAATGTTAGGATGGTGCTTACTTCCTCCATTTCTTTCTTTGCCATCCCTTGAGGCTTGCTCTTGTCTGGATGGCTGTAAATGACGCATCCGGTCCATATTCCAGCCCTCCATAAGATGAAAAGGAAGAGGAAGAGGAAGGAGAGGACCAGACAGAGAAGTTGCCCATATCTCATTAGCCAGAGATTAGTCATATGATCATGTCTAGCTGCAAAGGATGCTGGGAAATGTTATCTTTACCAGAAAAAAATCATGTGATCAGCTAAACCCTCCATTTTTTTTTGTAAGAATTATCTATTTAATTTTAGTTATCTTTGTTATTATTTTTAAAATTGCTTTAGGACACGTGTGCTCACCAGAGAGAGAAAGTGAAAAAGCAAGCTGCCAGGTCCAGAACTCTGACTAAAGTCAGCCATATGGGAATCCAGCACCTTAACCACCACACCACCTGCTGACCCCTGAACCCTCCATTATTAAAGAAGGAGAAAAGATATAGGAGGAGCATCTGGCAATCATGCCATAACTAGGCATATAAAGAAACACATCTTATTAAACTTCTCTTTAGCCTCAGTCTATAATTAAACCAGGCCAGTTCTTAACTGCTACCACTTCACCCCCCACCCCCGACCCAATAAAGGCATTAATCTAACCACTTAAACATGTTTGCTGGTACATGTGCACATGTACCCAAAATCCCAAGAGGAGAATGGAGAAGAAGGGATTACAGCAAGGCCTGGGGCTGGGTGGGGATTGATTTCTCATTTTCCCTTTCTCTGTCTCTCTCTCTTTCCTTATAACACATGCCCTAGGGGAGATTTTTTTTTTTTTTTGAGAGGTTTTCGCTATAGGGCCCGTGTGCTCACCAGACAGACAGAGAGAGAGATATAGAGACAGAAAGTGAGAAATCACCCCCCAGGGGGGATGGTCACGCCACAATCCCTTCTCCTCCATTCTCCTCTCGGGATCCTGGGCACGCACGCACACGCGCCCGGCATGAATTCTAAGCCACCGGGTCCGGGACACGAACCGCGGTCAACAACGTGGGAGTCCAGCAACATAGCCATTACGTTAACTGCTGGTTCCCATCCTTAGGGAAGATTTTTAAAATTGTTATAGAATATCTACTTGTTGGTCTACCTGTGGTACTACTTCACAGAACTTGTAGTTTAGTAGAGGGGGTACGAAAAGCAAGTAAAAGAACAACTAAGTACTTAGTTACAAATGTGGATAAGTCTGTCAGGCTGTTGTGATAATAATAATGCAGAGAGTCTTTTTAGGTTAGGCATCAAGAAGACCTCAGAGGAGGTGATGATTGAACAGAGACTTAGAGGATACCATGGAGCTGACCACATGGAGTGGCAAGCATGGAGCAGTGCACCAACCAAGGCAGACAACATTTGAGGAGGCCTCAAGAAGGGAAGCATTTGGTGCCCTTGGGGAACATACGGCCAACTCAATTGGAGCCTGACAGGTGTGAGAGACATGGTAGAGCCTGGCATGTTGGTACAGAGAGAGGCTAGATTCTGCAAGTCCTAGGGTCACATGAAAAGTTTAGATTTTATTTTATGGGATTGAGGCATGACTATGCCCCTGTTGAGGAATGTTTTCTCTCTCTCTCCCCTTCTCCCTCTCTCTCTAGTGAATGCATGTGCCATCTGGCAAGAAAATTACTTATTTAAAAATTTAACCTATTTCTAAGACTTTAATCAATAGAATAGGTGAGTTCTTCTCTGTAGAAGTTAGACTTTGTAATTACTCCACCTCTACCCCTATCAAAAGATCATTAACAAAAGTGACACATTCACATCAGTCACCTTAGTCAAACTTTAACCTGTTCAAACTGTTGGTCAACCCAGCAAGTTTTAAAAAGTATGCTCATACTTAAGAATTCATGCTTAGAATAAGTGTTCTGGGATGTCATTGAAGGGTTTTAAGCATAGTTGTTTATGTTTTCAACAGATCTTTTATACTGCTGAGTGGAGAATTGATTGGAAAACATCAAGAGTTAAAATCAGAAGATAAAGAGCCCTTTTTAGAACCATAGGTAAGAGATAAAGGACTGTTAGACCAGAGGGATAGCATTAGAGATGGGAAAATTGGTGGGGAAATATAAAAATTATTTGGAGAATTTCTTTTTTTTTTTTTTTCAGAGAGAGATTTTCACTATAGGGCATATGTGCTAACCAGAAAGACAGAGACAGAGAGACAGAAAGTGAGAAATCACCCCCCCACGAGAAAGGCCATGCTGCAATCCCTTCTCCTTCATTCTTCTCTTGGGATTTTGGGCACACATGCACACACTCCCAGCATGAGTTTTAAGATGCTGAGTCAGGACTCAAACCTGGTCAACTATGTGGGAGTCCAGTGACATAACCATAAAGCCATCTGCTGGTCCCGAAAATTTATTTTAAGAATGGCTTAGACACAACCTCTATGACACAGCAGGTAGTGTAGCCAGCTGCAGAAATGGAAGCCACATGCTCACTGAAGTTTGAGTCACTGACCCAGTCAACCTGAAAATACAAAGGGTATATGGGTGTATGTCCAGGACCTCAGGCAGGCTGAAGGATTGGAGGAAAGTTATCAAAGCATGATTAAGCCAGCCCCGTGGCAGGTTCTCTGTCTCTCTCTCTCTCTCTCCTCTCTTTCTCTCTGTTTTTCTCGTATGTACGTGCACACATTGCATCATGATAAAAAAAAAAAAAAAGAGTGACTTAAAACCAGTTATTGGGCCAGCCCTGTGTCAGTATCACAGTGGTTAAGCCATGTATATAGAAAGCAGAATCTCACATGGCTGACCACAATTCAATCCTGGCCCCAGCAGCTTCAAAAATACACTATGCACATGTGCATGCATGCCCAGACTCCTGATGGGATGGAGAAATGGAGGAAAAAGGATCGCCATGTGACCACACCCCATTGGAGGAGGGGAGATACTTTCTCTTTCTCTTTCTAGCAAGTATCCACGTGCTCTGGCTTTTTTTTTTTTTTTAAGAAAAACATATTCTAAGCATGAGATCCAGAGTATAATAAGCATGCTCCTTAAAAACTGCTTTACCTCCTGGGATGACCAAGAGTCTCAAACTAAAGGCTGACTGAGGTGAACATGTTACTTTTATTAATGTTCTTTGACTAGGGGTACTGGTGGAGTAAGCATGGAGCCTAACTTGCACAGAAAATTTAAAAGTTCAGTCTCTCTAGTCTATTAATTAAAGTCTTGGATACAGGGTAAAATTTTCAAATATATAATTTTCTTGCCAGATGGCACATGCACTAGTCAGAGAGGGAGAGGAAGGGAAAAGGAGAGAAAGGGAGAAAGCACCCCTTAGTGGCACAAGGTCATGCTGCAATCCCTTTTCCTCCATTTCTCCTTCATTTCTCCTTCCGGTCAGAATTTGGGTATGTCTGCGCATGCACCCAGAGAGTTTTCATACCACCAGGGTTAGGATTCAAACTGCAGTCAGCTCCCTTAGCCACTGTGCTATGGGGCCAGCCCAGTGTAAAAAATAATAATAATAATAATAATAATAATTACCAACTCTCTTTTGGGATCTGAAAAAAAGGAGAGAAGAAGCTGCTTCTCAGATTAAATATTGATGGCATAATAAATTGTACAAAAATGGGAAGAATTAAGTCTTCCTCTAGTAATATTGGGTTGTCGGAAAAGTCATGACACATTTTTGCATAGAAAAACAGAAAAATATGTCATGACTTTTCTGATGATCCAGTAGTTGTTTATACATATTTTTTTCCTATCCATTTTTTTCATGAATGAGAGAGAGAGAGAGAGAGAGAGAGAGAGAATACCCAACAGGGTCCCAATGCCACAGTGTTGCTCCTTCAGCCTTCAGCCATCCCTGGATCATAGGCAAGCTTATGTCCAGTGTACCCAGGAAGGCTTCCTTAAACTGGAAACCCTTGGGGCCAGCAGCTGGTATGGTGATTAAGGTGCTGGACTCCCACATGGCCAACCACTCTTTGAGTCCTGGACCTGGCAGCTTGAAAATAATGCCAGGTACATGTACGTGTGTGCCTAAAATCCCAGGAGGAAAATGAAGGAGAAGGGGTTATGGCATGACTACCTGCGCTGTGGGGTGATTTTCCACTTTCCCTCTCACTGTCTCTCTCTAGCTAGTGCACGTGTTCTATGGCAAAAAACTAAACAAACAAACAAACAAAAAACAACAACAGAAACTGAGAACCCTCCCATCTGAGCTTGTCTTTCAGAGCATCATGTTATAAAACTGCTGTACCACTGTCCAGCCCCTGTTCATACATATTTCTGAATAGGCATTTTTCCTTTTCCTCTATCCTATCAAGTCACCAAGTACACATTGACCCTCTGCTACATATTCAGCCCTGGAGTTTTATCAGTGGCAATGACGAAAAAAATAAAACTATTCCTAATCTCTGGAAGTTTAAAATCTACCTGGAGCAGTGGATAAAAAATCTTCTCTGGAGGGACCAGCAGTTGGCGTAATGGCTATGTCTTTGGACTCCCAATGTAGTTGACCATGGTTCGGGTCCTGAACCTGGTGGCTTAAACTCACGCTGGGTGCGTGTGTGTGCATGCCCCAAGATCTCCCTCCATCCCTGAGAGGAGAATGGAGGAGAAGGGATTGCAGAGTGGCCATACCACCTGGGAGGTGATTTCTCGCTTTCTGTCTCTCTGCCTCTCTCTGTCTTTCTGGCAGGTGGACAGGCACTATAGCAAAAACCTCTCAAAAAAAAAAAAAAAAGTCTTCTATATAATACTTAGAGCATTGACTTCTCCCATTGTTACACTACCAGCCATGTTTATGTTTCTAAAAGCCTGAAACAATGGTTATCACATCCATGTATTTTTGCCTTGCTTACCACATCTCTCTAAAGGGCTGCCCTCTCAACCAAGAGAGAAAATAAGTCAACAAGAAACATGACATGTGTGTGCAACTTGCCTTCTTACCTTTACTCTTTGGCATTCTTACCTCTCTCTAACATCTTGGTACATCTTAAAAGATGGGGAAAAGAGTGCAGAAGGTGAACTTTCTTTCATTTCTAAAGCTCTGGTCCTTCACGTTGCTTAAGATCTCACCTCTAGTTTGAAGACTGACACTGTAGAAAAGGGCTAGGGAAGGCCTTTCACAAGCTGTGGCAGGAAACTACAAAGAAAAGCAGAAGCTGTCAGTAGGAAAACACTGTGGTTGAGGGTAACCTCCTAAGCTGTGATGTGTGCCCTGAAGATGAGTATAAAGTGGTATGCTCAGAAATCACTCTCATTGAGAGTACCAGTTACCATGGTGCAGGTTCCCGAGTGTCTGCTTTGTTAGAGGACTTGGTGTAGGAAAAACATTTTTTGCATTAAACAGAAACTCTCTTAAGGGTAGAATTTGAAGTTTCTGTATATTTTAACACTGAAAATTTGAAAAGCTTAATGTCAAAAAGGACTGTGTTCAGGGACCAGCACTTAGCATAATGGCTATGTCGCTGGACTCCCACATAGTCGACCATGGTTCTCGTCTCGGACCCGGTGGCTTCAAATTCATGCCGGGCGAATGTGCATGCGTGCCCAAGATCCCGGGAGGAAAATGAAGGAGAAGGGATTGCGGCGTGGCCATCCCTCCTGGGGGGTGATTTCTCGCTTTCTGTCTCTCTGTCTCTCTCTGTCTGTCTGGCGAAGGCACACGCCCTATAGCAAAAAAAAAAAAAACTCTAAAAAATAAATAAAGAAATAAAGAGAACCATGTTTGAACCTCTTAATCTATGTCCAGTTCCCTCTAGATAGATGTCTGTTCTCTTCTGCTTTGGGGTTATTTAAGTAGAACAGTCTTGGCTTACTTAATGACTAAGGGTTAATTTCCTTATCCTCTGGAGCTATTTATCTTGGGATGGTTCTCTGCCTGACTGCCTTCTTTCTGCACATGACCTTTGTACTCTTAGACATCTTAGACAACTGAATTCTTTTTTTTTTCTTTTTATTTATTTATTTATTTTACATTTCCCCACATTCATTTTACATATCAATTTTTTTCTTTTTTTAAAAGAAGATTTATTTATTTATTTAATTCCATCTGTTATTATTTTTTAATTTGACGAGGGAGAGACAGAACGAGAGAAAGAGAGAGAGAAAGGGAGAGAGAGAAAGCAGGTCAATAGGTCCAGGATTCGAACCATGGTTGGCCATGTGGGAATCCAGCACCTTTAATCACCACACCACCTGCTGGGCCCCAAAATATCAAAAAATTGTTGCTTATACTCCCTAGCTCTTGACAGTTCATAAACAACTTCCAAAATTTCTAAAACTAAATTTTAAAGATCACTTTCAAAAATGTGTTATAATTTTTGTTTGTGACTCTATAGCAACAGAGACAGTATGGTTTTAAATATTTTTGAGAAAATATTTACATGTCAACTACTCAAACTGTGGAAAAGCAAACAGCCAGTACACAAGTCACACATAAACCTTCTCAATTCAGCCCTGCCTACCAAGGCTTCTGTGATAGACCATCTGCTGACAAAGATCAGTCTCTTTTCTTCCTTCAAAGTCTTCCTCAAGATAATCATCTGGTTGTGGTTGCTCTTTTGTAATCTCTACTGATTACAACGCTGGGCAGGAAAAGTCCAGGTTATTTTATGTTATAAATTCTATCACATAGCTTCTCTAATTCTCTCTGCCAGGCAGAACTGTTTATGGTGCCAGACAATCTTTTCAAGAGCTTCTGTTGGCTTTCTTGAGATCTACCTTAGTTCCATAGTTTTCTGGTCATATCTTTTGATATGACAATCCAGTCAAAGCCTTGGCAATCATGAATTTTTCCAGTTTCTGATGCCAGGCAACAGATATTATTGAACTTATGCAAATAACCCTTCTGCCACAAAATAAGAATACTCACAAATATTTTCCAAATAGGAGGGGTCAGGAAGGAAGAAAAGTTTATGTTTACATTTAAAGAATAAAACAAGAAAAATATTTTAATAAATTGTTGAACCTATCAACAGCTCAAAAGAAAGTAAAATGCTTAAATTGGGAAAATGAAGCATAATAAAAAAAAATCAGTAATGTTT